AACAACAACAACACCAGAAAAGTACAGAGTGCAAAACAGAAGAAAACAGAAACAAAGAAAAAAAGAGAGAGAGGAAAAAAAAAATCAAATAAGAGGTAAAACAGTCAAAACAATAAACTGGATCCTGGGTATATTTTGGTCTGTTTGTTAAAAGAAACTAGATCCCAAAATAGGAAGGAATGAAAAACTTTTATATATATAAAACTTATATATATATATATATAAACTTATATATATGAACTTATATATATAAGCTTATACATATATATAAAACTTAAAGACTCAAGAATAATAAAAAAAACATGAATGCTATATACTGTTTTCCATAAGAGCTGAAGCTTTGCAGTTCTGTATGATTAGTAAACTTGGTATTAGCCAGATGTTTCTGCTGGTCTTCTGGGGGAGGGGCCTCTTGCCCTGTTTCTCAGGTGTCTTTGCCCAGGTGGAATTGCACCCCTCTTGCCAGGGGGCCAGGTCAGTGTAAGTGGCTTCAGATTGCACTATGTGGCACTCTTTTGCTCCCTGAAGGCTTTCAGCACTGGTTGGGGGGATGAAAATGGTGATGCTCCAATCTCTAGCCCCAGAGGTGAAAGCCCCCCCCACTCTTCAGTGAGCCCCTCACAAAACAGCAGTCAATCTCTCTTGTCCCCCTGGTTTCCATCTGACTCTGTGTTCGCCCAGCCTGTGACCGATCATTTTTTTATCTCAGGCATGCCACCCTGTTTCGAGTCTCCAGACTTTACAGACTCTTGTGACACAGACCTGCACCATTCCTCGCCGGGGAAGGAAGGTGTTCTTACCCCGCTTCTGCCTTTTGCTGGTCCGCTGCCTGGAGAGTGGTCACCTAACCATGCAGCGGTTCATGGTTTATGGCAACACTGAGCAGAAAGCCAGCACCTAGACTCCCTGTGTACAGCTGGCTTCCTTGCTCCAATGCTTGGGAACTCTGCCGCACTGAGCCATCCCCATTCTGTGACCCCAGGGATCCTGTGACCACACTGTCCCACCTGGGATTCCACTCCACTTTGCCACTGAGCACCTTTCACGCAGGGACCTCCCCCACCAGAGCACACTTCTAAAAGTTCTGGTTTTGCACTCCCCTACTTATATTATTTTCCAGTAGCTTAAGGAAGCTCCCTCCCCCCACAGTTTATCCTCAGATATATCACCTCGGATTCATGTCTCCACACCTACCTTGCAAAAAATGGTCACTTTTCTATTTGTAGAATTGCAGCAATTCTTTTATCAGATCTCTGGTTGATTTCCCGGGTGTTCAGAATGATATGGTAACTAGTTGAATTCCAGGGACCAGATGAAATTAGGGTCCCCTACTCCTCCACCATCTTAACTTCTCCCCAACAACTTTTTAAAACAAGAGTATTCAGTACTAGAAGTTTCTCTTGGGAGATGGTAAAAATTTGTCACCAAAGTCAGACTAGATAACCTGTCAGCACTGCTATCAAAGGGATTCCTGATTTGTGTGGGGGCAATACCACACTGTTCTGATTACTATCACTTTATAATAAGTATTTAAATTAGTGTTAGCCTTGTAACTTTGTTCTTTTCTTTCACAGTTTATTGCATTTCTATATGAATTTTAGAATCAGCTTGTAAATTTCTTTTAAAAAAAAGCTTGCTGGGGCTTTGTGGGAATGCATTGTTTCTATGGATCAATTTGGGAACAATTAGTATTATTATAAAACTTAGGCTTTCAATCTATGAAAAAGGTATATCTCTCCATTTATTAAGATCTTTTCTAACTTCTCTCATTACTGGTTTCTGTTTTCATTTAAAGGTTTCACTTCTTTTGTCAGATCTATTCCTAAATAGTTCATAGTTTTGATACTATTATAAATGGTATTTTTTAAAATGTTGGTTTTCCATAGTTTATTGCTAATATATAGAACTACAATCAATTTTCATATGTTGGTCTTACATCTTACAACTTTTTTAAACTCATCTATGAGTTGTAGCTTTTTGGTAGATTCTATTGGATTTTCAACATAGACAGTCATGTCTTCTGCAAATAAAGACAGTTTTACTTAATTCTTTGCAATTGGATGTATTTCATTTATCTTTCATGCTGGATAGCACAAACTAGAATCACTAGTAATTATGTTGAATATAAGTGGCAAGAAGTATTGCAGTTATTCAACTTCTTGATTTCAAAATTTAGGAGAAAGTTGTAATAATCAAGACCATGTGGTGCTCTCAAAAATAAATCTGAAATAAACCAATCACTTATGGCCAATTGATTTTTGACAAGAGAAATATTCAATGGGAAAATAGTCTTTTCAACAAATGGTGTTGAGTCAGAGTATACACATGGAAAACAATCAAGTTGGATCTCTACCTCAAATCATATACAAAAATTAACTCAAAATGGATCAAAGACCTAAGTGGAAAAACTAAATCTATCAAACTCTTGGGAGAAAACAGGTGTAAATATTCCTGGCTTTGGTTTCTTATATATAAAACACCAAAAGCAAGCAACCAAAAAAAAAAAAAAAACAGATAAGTTCAACTTCATTAAAATTAAATACTTTTGTGCTTCAGAGGATACCATCAAGAAAGTGGAAAGATAATCCACAGAAAATGTTAAAGGTCTAGAATTTATAAAGAACTCTAATGACTCAATAATAAAGACAAATAATCCAATGTAAAAAAAGGGCAAAGGATTTATATAAACATTTCTCAAAAGAAGATATGAAAATGGCTGATAGGCACATAAAAATATGGAATTAAGGAAATGCAAATCAGAGCCACAGTGAGATATCACTTCACACTCACTATCATGGCTATAATTGAGAAGACAGGAAATAATAAGTGTTGGCAAGGATGTAAAGAAATTGGAACCCTTTCTGATGGGAATATAAAATGGTGCAGCTGCTTTGGGCAGCAGTTTGGCAGTTGTTTAAAAAGTTAAACATAGAGTTGCCACATGACTCAGCAATTTCCCTCTTAGTTATATAACCAAGAGTATAGAAACTATATGTCCTCACAAAAACTTATATGTGAATATTTATGCCACCATTATTCATAATAGTCAAAAGATGTAAACAACCCAAATGTCCATCAACTTATGAATGGATAAATAAAATGTGTTATATCCATACAACAGATATTATTCAGCCATAAGAAATAAACTGATTCATGTTACAACATGGATGAACCTTGAAAACATTATGGTAAGTGAAAGAAGCCTATCACAGAAGGGTCACATATTGTGTGATTCCATTTACATGAAATGTCTGGAATAGGCAAATCCAGAGAGGCAAAAGTAAGTTAGTGGTCTCCAGGGGTTTGGAGGAGAGGGAATGAGGAATGACTAATGAGTATGAGGTTTATTTTTCAGATGGTAGAAAATGTTCAGGCATTATAAAATGGTGATGGTTGCACAACTTTATGAATATACTCATAACCACTGAGTTGCTTACTTTCAGAGAGTTACGGTATGTGGGTTATATCTCAATTAAAAATAATTTTATGTGGTGAACAGCCATAGAAAACAGAGATACTGCTTTCTTCCAGAGATTGCTGTCCATTATAAATGATAAACTCAAAATTCCCTTCTTATAATGTACCCTACTGCATGGTATCTTCTAGCCCTCTTTCAGTAACCCTGTGGGAATTGGGGCTCAGGGAACTGGTACAAATACTGATATTCTAGTAACTGCTATTGCTGGTTTAATAAACTATTCTTTGACTCTGACCCTAGCGTTTTGTGTCTTCTGCCAGCATCTATGAAACTGTGGCTAACTTGTTAACTTTTACATAGAGTAAAATCTCAGAACCTTCAAAGTTCTTGACAAGGACCATAAAATTAATTCAGTTGAACTTTCTCATTTTATATATTTCAAATCTCAGTCATATAGCTATGTATTTTATTTCAAGAAAGCTGAGGAAGACAGCATCAATAGGAAGAAAACATTGGTTTCTTTATGGAATGGGTTTATCAACCCTTAATAACTTTGTCCTTAAGTTAGCATTTGTCATGCCATAAATCTTTTTGTTTGTTAGACTCATATCATTTTAAATATACAACTCAAAAGAGAATTCTCTGACCTTTTCTTTGTGGTATTTGCTGACCAAAAATCTTCTTCTACTTCTAATAGCATCTTCAAAAGACTTAAAAGAAAAGAGACCTCTATGAAGATTCACTAGTATATGCAGAGATTTGTTTTTACTTGATAATGAGTTGGGTTACCTCACTGCTTTTGTACCCTGGTTCTTATATATCATTAGGGGTTATTCTAGTTTTGGCAAACAATTCAGGTATCCTTTTTTAAAATTGTCCTTGAATTTCAGAGTTCTTATATGTAGCCTTGAGTTCAATGATGGCTTAGCTTATAAAAGCCTATCAAGACTGGTTTTTAATTTGGATAAAAAAAGCCTAACAAGACTGGTTTTTAATTTGGATAACACACTCTGCAAAGTCATGACCATCATATTAATACAAAAAAATGAACATATTTAAGCTGATTTTTTTCTACAAATAAAAACACAGCACTGTATAAAGTTTTCTAAAGAAAAAAATCTGTATCAAGTTTTAAGACGTTAGGGAGTACACTAAATAGACGAATAAATTAAGTCTTAAAAAATATTAAGCTCCAATACCTTATGCAGTAGTATTAATTAGGCAGTATTCTGGGGCTTAATATTTTCTTTTACCTTGATTGGGTCACCATAGGTCTAGCTCCTTCAATATTGCATTTCCTCTGTAGTAATATTCAACACATGTTATTGTACTTGCCTCACAGCCAGCAAGATTTTGCCAAAAATTAGTTTTAAATTTATGTGGAACCTTTCTTTGTATTAATTTATGTGGTAACCTAAAATAATGTTATGTGCTGAATTGTGTCCTCATAAAATTTATATGTTGAAGTCCCTAGTATCTCAGAATATGGCTTTATTTGATGATAGAGTCTTTAAAGAGGTAATTAAGCTAAAATGAGGTCAATAGGTATGCTTTAATCCAGTATGACTCATGTTCTTATAAGAAAACTTTAGGACAGAGACACACAGAGGAAGACCATGTGAAAATACAGGGAAAAGATAATCATCTGCAAGCTGAGGAGAGAGGCCTGAGAAGAAACCAACCCTGCCGATACTTCAGTCTGAGACTTCCAACCTCCAGAATTGCAAGAAAATAAATTTCCACTGAAACCACCCAGTCTGTGGTACTTTGTTATGACAGCCCTAGCAACTAATACAATAACTAAAAGATTGTTTTGGTAAGTATGGAATTTTGAAAAGGATCTCATAGTCCTATGGGAATATTTATATATACTACATTAATGGCTTTTTTGTACAGAAAATATAACTTTACTGTGGACCAGTATTTTTTTCTCTAGTATATTTCCTTTACAAATATGTGCATGCCCACTGACAATTCCATATTCTGTCTCTCCTCTCTCTAGGTCTCATGGTTCTTTTTTTTTTTTTTTTTTTACAACATAATTCCTCAGCTCTTGGGTGGAATCATACTATAAGTGACAGTTTATTCCCCCATCACATCCTATACTTTCTAAAGCATCTTCTAACATCTGTGTGACTATCAAATAGATACCACATTTATCATATCACACACATCACTAAATGAACTAGATAAAACTATCATTTGTTTCTTGTATGTTACAAACTTACTAGCATAATATGTGAGTCAGGAAATGTATCTTAGAAAGTTATGAATGATAAATGGAATTGGTAGATATACAAAGAGAAGAGTTGTTCTCTTATGAAATCTTACCAGTCTTCATGTTTAATTTTGGAATCAGAATTGACTTAATTTTATCACAGGGTCTTTTCAAAGGAAGCAATTGGTTTTATGATCTGATTTTTTTCTAGAAATATTTCAAAGAATGAATAGAAATATTCACAGCTTTTCTCAAAACAAATTATGTTACAATCTTTTCAAGTTAGTTAGCATATTTCTAGCTAGGTATACCCAATTCTGGAGAGCCATGTAGATAGCTGCTATGAAAAAGTAACAAAACCCATTTGCCAGTTTCTCAGAAGAATAGTATTTCTAGCCATAGTAGAATATTCATAGGCTATCAGAGTTTGAGAGTACATCCCTGAGATTCCCTAAAGGCACAGATGAATTCTAAAGAGTAATCCATCTCACTGTGTACTTCAAATAATATATTCCCAAACATACAGTTATCTTTTTTATGAAGACATAGAAACATTTTCTGACTGAACAATAGACAATGACTTAATTGAAATCTCCTCTTTTTAGGATAAAAATTATGGGAAACATGGAGGTTTTTATCCCTGGAATTATTGATTAAATGAAAAGCTAAACATTTAGTGACTTCAGGTAAGATGAATTCACTAAGAGGAGCTGAGTATAAAATGCCAAATAACCAGCTAAAAAGTGAAAACAAAATTAGGGGAATTCATGAGTGTGTTGTTGTTGTTTTAATGACCACATTCAATCAACAAAATCAATTGTTGGTTTCTTTTTCATCAAGGTGCCTATATGTTCCTCCTGGTTGACTTGGGACCAGCTCAAAGGAAAACCGCTGTTAATCTTATCTGGTTCATTTTTCCTTCTAAATATAGAAAAACAGATTGAGTCAATTACACTCTTACTAAACCTCTGTGTTCCCCATTTTCCCACTAGGCCTTTCTGCTAAAACCAGCAAGAAGAGAGTAGCAACTTGAAGATCACAATTCTTTGACCTTATCCATTCTACTTTAGGTGAAAGTTCCCATGGTCACACCATAGTTTGTAGATAAATGTTGTATACAAGTCATCTGCCTCAGAATCACTTAAAAGAAGTTGTTTAAAGTGCAGATTCCTCAGTGCCTCCCTCCCCAGTGATTCTGATTCAGTAGGTCTAAGGTGGAACCTAATAATACGCATTTTTACAAAGCCCCTGTGTGATTCTTTTCGAAGTGAATTGTTTACCACACTTTGAGGAACACTGCTTTAGACATGAGTGTGTCAGGGTGGAGAATAGTTGAAAGACTTCTCATTTAAAGTCCTCTGTTTTCCTTATAGAGTAGATGGGTTTGTCTATTCTCCTGCCCCGCATCCCACTGGCACACATTGATATATTGTTCAGTATCTAAACCAAAGTAAAACTTTTTATAACTTTTCCCCACCCAGTTGATCAATCTTATTTTGAGTCACGAGGGTATCTCATACGTGTTTTTATTATGGTACTCATCACATACTGTAACATCTTGGTGTTCCTTAGGGTTTTCTTTTTATCTTCCTCTTTCCTTACTCTTTACACATTTCCTGGGCAATATTATCCATGCCATGGCTTCAGCTATCACCCATAAAGCTGATGACTTTCAAATCTGTACCTCAAGCCCACATCTCTCTCCTAGTCTCCAGATCCATAATTCCAGTGGTCTATTGCACGTCTCTACTTGATTGTTTAAAGTACCCCATGTCTCAATGTCAAAAACTGAATTTATTTTCTTCCCGTGTCCCCAGTCCCTTCCCCAAACCTATTCATCCTCTTCTATTCTAAGTGGCACCACCGTGTACTCTGTTGAAGCCACAAACTGAGCAGGAATTCTATAGCCCTTCCCTTCTTCTTCCTTCATTCAATACTCTCAGATCTTCTTCTGAGATATTTCTCAAATTTCTATTCTCCACTCCCCTACTGTTATTGCATTGGACAAAAACTAGTTTATTATAGTATATGGTAGTTTATGGTACAGCCAAGGCTAAATGAAGATATTACTTGGGAAAAGGCAAATAGTCATACATATTAATTCTTCAAAAATCTTCTATGTTTATTTCATTGTTAAAGATGTTAAAGGGATAATTAGAGAGAGGGAAGTAGAGAGTAGTTATGTTACCAGATACTCATCTTTCACAGCACAGAGTAAATATATAATGTCTAATAATATATAATGCCAAAAATTAAAAAATCAAGAAATGGCAGAGCAATATGTTAAAAACATCACCAAGATACAACCAGCCAAATCAAGAATGTAGAAATTTCTTGGCACAAGTGACCTGGATTATTATTACAAAAAAAATGACATAGCAAAATTGGATAAGGGGACTGTTACTGATTACTGGAAATTTAAGAAACATGCCAACATAATGCAATATGCCTATTTTGTGTGGATCTTAAGCAAACAAAAAGATATTTAGGGGAAATTTGAACACAGATTGAGTACCATATGCTAGTAAGTAATTTTGATAAAGGTATTGGGATTATGTTATTGAAACTTCCCTCATCTGCTAGAGATACATACCAAATATTTATGGGTGAAAAGATCTGATGTCAAAGATTTGCTTTAAAATACTCCAGGTCAAATCATATACAAAAATTAACTCAAAATGAATCATAGACCTAAAATGTAAAAACCTGAAACTATAAAAATGCTAAAAGGAAACAGGAAAAAATATTCAAAATCTTGGGTTTTGCAAAAATTTCTTAGAAATTATGCCCAAAACACAATACATAACAAATTGATAAATTGGACTTCATCAATATTAAAAACTTCTACTATTCAAAAGACACTGTTAGGAGAATAAAGGAACAAACCAAAAACTGGGAAAAAAATCTTTACAAACGATATATTTGATAAAGGATTGTATACACAATATATTAAGAACTCCTAAAATTCTGGGGTGCCTGGGTGGCTCAGTTGGTTAAGCGACTGCCTTCGGCTCAGGTCATGATCCTGGAGTCCCGGGATCGAGTCCCACATTGGGCTCCCTGCTCAGCAGGGAGTCTGCTTCTCCCTCTGACCCTCTTCCCTCTTGTGCTCTCTATCTCTCATTCTCTCTCTCAAATAAATAAATAAAATCTTTAAAAAAATAAAAGAACTCCTAAAATTCAATAATAAGTAAACTAACAACCCAATAGTAAAATGGGTATGAGAAAAGAGTTAACACAGCAGGTCTTATTGCTCACTCCTCACATATCTCCAAGACAGCTTGGAGCCATCTAATCATGGTACAACCTCTGGGAATGTTGTATTTGATGGTTCTTTCTGCTAACAATTGAAGATTTTATTGTATACACCTGGAGCAAAGGACCATGGTATATTGTCTTATAAGAATTACTTTTCACAAACATCAAGACTGATGATGGGCGGGGTGCCTGGGTGGCTCAGTAGGTTAAGCGTCTGCTTTCGGCTCAGGTCATGATCCCAGGGTTCTGAAATCGAGCCCTGCATCGGGCTCCCTGCTCAGCAGGAAGCCTGCTTCTCCCTCTCCCACTCCCCCTGCTTGTATTTCCTCTCTCGCTGTGTCTCTCTCTGTCAAATAAATAAAATCTAAAAAAAAAAAAAAAAAGATTGATGATGGGCACATGATTTCATTGTTGGGGTCATGAGTTTTGGTTACCATAGATAGTTGCATATCATAACTTTGTGTGCAGCCCTCCAAAAACGGACTCTGAGACTTGAATGTGCTTCCCTGTACACGGAGTCTTCACATATGTCCCTGCACTTCACAGCCAGAGAAAAAGTATATCCTGTGTGACTCCAGGTAGGAAAGGATGTGGAAACTTGTGTCTAATCACTGTGGACTCCACCCAATGGATATCTTGTTCCTGTTGCTCTTGCTCTATATACTTCTTTGTAAGAAATGTTAGCCATGAGTAAAACATGTTGTGAGTCTTGTGAATCCTTCTGTTAAATTAGCATACTTGAAGGTGGCCTTGAGACCCCTGAGACAATAGGAAAAGAATTTGAACAGAAACTTCACTCAAAAACATATAAGGGTGGCTAGATGCGGAGCAAGATGGTGGAGGAGTAGGAGACCTGGATTTCGTCTGATCTCAGGAATTCAGCTGAATAAGGATCAAACCATTCTGAACACCTACAAACTCAACAGGAGATCGAAGAAAAGAATAGCAACGACTCTGAACAGAAAAGCGACCACTTACTGGAAGGTAGGACGTGCGGAGAAGTGAATCTGAGGCGATATTCGGGAGGATAGACGGCGGGGGAGGGGGCTTCCGTCGGCCGCTATTGGCAAGTGATAGAGCCGCAGAGCACAAAATCAGAACTTTTAGAAGTCGGCTCCACTAAGGGACGTCGCTCCAGTGACTAAGCTGGGGGTGGAACCCTCGCGGGACAGTGTGGTCTCAGGACCCTCGGGGTCACAGAAAGACCGGGGGTGCCTGAGTGTGGAAGAGCTCCCAGGTATCGGGACGGGGAAGCCGGCTGCAGAGACGGAGCCGAGGCGCAGGCTCTCAGCTCGGGGTGGCCATAAACCGTGATCCACGGCCAGTTGGGCCACTGCTCCTTAACCAGGGACCCAACAAGCGGCAGAGCCGGGGAGACTCCCCTTCCTCCCCCAGGAGGAGCAGCGCAGGAGCACACCGCAGGGATCTGCTGGGTTTGGAGACGCCATATGGGGTAGGGTGCCAGAGATAGAAACACTCAGTCACAGGCCAGGTGAGCATGGAGTGCGGCCGGAGACTAGGGACACGGGAGTGACTGCTTTTCTCTGGGGGCGCACTGAGGAGCGGGGCCCTGAGTTCTCGGCTCCTCTGGGCAGACATTGGAAGGCCACCATTTTCACTCTGGTCCTCCAAAGCTGTACCGAGAGCTTGCAGGGAACAAAAGCTCCTGAAAGCAAACCCGAGCAGATTGCTTAGCCCAGAATGACAAGGGTGGGGCAATTCCCCCTCCGGCAAAGACATTTGGGAACCAAGGCAACAGGCCCCTCCCCCAGAAGATCAGCACTAACAGCCAAGCAAACCAAGACCAAGTTTACCGATCAAGGAGAATGGGAGAACTCTAGCACTAGGGGGATACTGCACATAGAATTCATGGCTTTTTTTCCATGATTCATTAGTTTTTCAAAGTTAATTTTTTTAACTTCTTTTTCTATTTTTATTTTTCCCTTTTTTGACCAACATCAATCCCTTTTTAAAAAAAAATATTTTTTTCATTTTTAGAATCATATTTATCCCTTCATAGTAGTTACCCTTATTTTTGGCATATATGTTCTCTCTTTAAAATTTTGAGATACAGTTTCTTCTAACAGATCAAAATATATCCTAAGTCACTAGTATATGGCTTTGTTCTAGTCTCCTGCCTGATCACACTCTCTCCCTTTCTTTTTAAATCTTCTTTCTTTTTTATAACAACTTCTTATCAATACCTTTTATAAAATCTTTTATAATTTTCATCTTTACAGTCATCTTCCATCCCTTCATTGTATCAAACCTTATTTTGTACATATATGTCTTTCTTCCTTTAAACTTTTAGGGGGCACTTTTTCTAACTGACCAAAATATGCCCAAAATCTAGTCTGTGGCACTGATCTATGCACTAGCCTGATCATATCTGATCATATTCTGTTTTTTTTTTGTTTTGTTCTATTTTTGTTGGTTTTTATCTTTTTCTTTTTCTCTCTCTCTTTCTTTTTTCTTTCTTTCCCTTTCTTTTCCCCTGGTTTCAGGTCTTTTCTGATTTGTATAGAGTATATTTGCTGGGGACATTGTTAACCTGTTAGCATTTTGTTCTCTCATTCAACTATTCTCCTCTGGACAAAATGACAAGACGAAAGAAATCACCTCAGCAAAAAGAACAAGAGGTAGGACCGTCTCCCAGGGACCTACTCAATACGGACATTAGTAAGATGTCAGACCTAGAGTTCAGAATCATGACTTTAAAGATACTGGCTGGGCTTGAAAAAAGCGTGGAAGTTATTAGAGAAACCCTTTCTGGAGAAATAAAAGAACTAAAATCTAACCAAGTCGAAATCAAAAAGGCTATTAATGAGGTGCAATCAAAAATGGGGGCACTAACTGCTAGGATAAATGAGGCAGAAGAGAGAATCAGCGATATAGAAGACCAAATGATGGAAAATAAAGAGGCTGAGAAAAAGAGATAAACAACTACAGGATCACGAGGGCAGAATTTGAGAGATAAGTGATACGATAAGACGAAACAACATTAGAATAACTGGGATCCCAGAAGAAGAAGAGAGAGAGAGGGGGGCAGAAGGTATATTGGAGCAAATTATAGCAGAGAACTTCCCTAATGTGGGGAAGGAAACAAGCATCAAAATCCAGGAGGCACAGAGAACCCCTCTCAAAATCAATAAAAATAGGTCAACACCCCGACATCTAATAGTAAAACTTACGAGTCTCAGAGACAAAGAGAAAATCCGGAAAGCAGCTCAGGAGAAGAGATATGTAACCTACAATGGTAGAAATATTAGATTGGCAACAGACCTATCCACAGAGACCTGTCAGGCCAGAAAGGACTGGCATGATATCTTCAAGAGCACTAAATGAGAAAAATATGCGGCCAAGAATACTATATCCAGCTAGGCTATCACTGAAAATAGAAGGAAAGATAAAAAGCTTCCAGGACAAACAAAAACTAAAGGAATTTGCAAACACGAAATCAGCCCTACAAGAAATATTGAAAGGGGTCCTCTAAGCAAAGAGAGAGCCTAAAAGCAGCATAGACCAGAAAGGAACACAGACAATATACAGTAACAGTCACCTTACAGGCAATACAATGGCACTAAATTCATATCTTTCAATAGTTACCCTGAATGTAAATGGGCTCAATGCCCCAATCAAAAGACACAGGCTATCAGATTGGATTAAAAAACAAGACCCATCGATATGCTGTCTGCAAGAGACTCATTTGAGACCCAAAGACACCCCCAGATTCAAAGTGAGGGGGTGGAAAACCCTTTACCATGCTAATGGACACCAAAAGAAAGCTGGGGTGGCTATCCTTATATCAGACAAATTAGATTTTAAAACAAAGACTCTAACAAGAGATGAAGAAGGACACTATATCCTACTTAAAGGGTCTATCCAACAAGAAGATCTAACAATTGTAAATATCTATGCCCCTAACATGGGAGCAGCCAATTACATAAGGCAATTAATAACAAAGCAAAGAAACACATTGACAACAATACATTTACAGTGGGGGACTTTAACACCCCCCTGACTGAAATGGACAGATCATCTAAGCAAAAGATCAACAAGGAAATAAAGACTTTAAATGACACACTGGACCAAATGGACTTCACAGACATATTCAGAACATTCCATCCCAAAGCAACGGAATACACATTCTTCTCTAGTACCCATGGAACATTCTCCAGAATTGATCACATCCTAGGTCACAAATCAGGTCTCAACCGGTACCAAAAGATTGGGATTATTCCCTGCATATTTTCAGACTACAATGCTTTGAAACTAGAACTCAATCACAAGAGGAAAGTCGGAAAGAACTCAAATACATGGAGGCTAAAGAGCATCCTACTAAAGAATGAATGGGTCAACCAGGAAATTAAAGAAGAATTTAAAAAATTCTTCGAAACCAATGAAAA